CCAGTGTACATCCTCTGGTCTAGCCAGATTTGTAAGGTAGAATTGGGATCATGATAGTGTGGGGGAGGAAGCATTTAAGAATTAGAGGAAAGTTGAATGTTTCATTGTTGCTACACTGCATGCTGACTGGCTCATCTCTTCCCTGTGACCCTTATGTAAAAGGGTGTCCCGTTACCTACAGATGGGCTTTGGGTCTCAACTCTGCACTCCCCCTCATTTACAATGATATGATTTTTTGTTCTTTGATGCCTGATACCTGGTCCCTTTGACAGCTCATGGCCACACAGGCTGGTGTGCTTCTTCCATGTGGGCTTTGTTGCTTCTGAGCTAGATGGCTGCTTGTTTACCTGCAAGCCTTTAAGACCCCAGACACTATCTTTGGATAGTCCGGCACCATCAGCTTTCTTCACCACATTTGCTTATACACACATTTGTCTTCAGCGATCGTGTCAGGAAGGTGTGTTTCATGGAATGGGAAATAGCTCAATTTTAAACTCATCTTTCCTTTAAGTTTATTTTTCATACACTCGTGACATTACCTTTATTTGTACAGATATGTTTCACATAAATCAATTTTTCTTGAAAAGCCTTTCTCTATTTTCCATTAGGTCAGAAGGTTTGTAGAATTTTGAATACTAGGGAAAAAATTCTTGCAAATGTTTCTTATGGCTCACTAGCTAGAAGTAGTGTAAGACTTAGAATACTGCTTGGGGCTTTGGAAGTTTTGTAATCTAACCTAAATTCCCATCATCTTATTGCTTACCAGGTTTGCTTGCTACAAGAGTGCCACCCCGAGTACTTAAGGCAATTCTACACGCATTCTTGTGTATTCCTGATTTATTTTAAAATATTTAAGTGATTTAATACATTCATAATAAATAATTGAACTGAATTCACCTAACAGAGTATCATAGATGATTGTACTTGGAGCTCTACTAATTTAAAGGTACAAGTTAACCCAAAGGATGACAAATGTGGAGTGTACCAGTATCTACTCCCTCTCCTGGCCAGCTCAGCCCCAATTTTAAGCAGACTTTGTGCCTGTTAGTGAACACTGGCGCTGTCACCAGAGATTTGAGCCTATGTGGCCAAGTGTATAAAAGCCACCTCCATGCATATAGCAACGGAATGTTTAAAGGTAAGAGAGTGTAAAAAGGGAAAGGTTCAGAAAATAAACTTGGTTAAAAAAAATGTTGAGAGGAGACTAGCAAGAAATGCATGAGTGAGACTACTTTCTGTTGAAAGTGGAGAACCTTCTTCTAGTTATGTACAGGAACAGGTAAGTGGTCAGTGATTTAGTAAAGCAATGACCTTAGTTAGGATCCAGATGGCCAGCTTTGATCTCAGCTTCTTCTTACTGTGTGCCCTTGGACAAACTAATTCCTAGGAATTTTAACATCTCCGTTTAAAATGAATATACTTATAACTCACTTCACAGGATCGTGGAAACCTGACACCTTTTCCCATCCCTCTAACAATATTAATCTTCATTCCCAAGAGGCCATTGATAGAGGGTTGAGTGCTGGGACTTTGTAGGAGCAAATTGTCTCAAGACTCAAGGAAGGAATATGAGTCATAGTCTCCGAACACAGATATTGCTGCTAATTTCTCTGAACACCCTCCAGGCTTCTGAGCAACAGTACATTATTGGAATAGTAGGAACCTCATTTCCGTCTTCTAGCAGTACAAGACCATTCCAAGCGGAGGCACTGGATAGTCTGATCTTCAACAAAGATAAAGTAAATACTTTCTCTCCTGTTCTCTGGGAAACTCTGTTTGGGGCTTTATCTTCCCATCTGGACTATAGACAAACTGGCTGAAATATTATTGCTTTGAGTGAGAACTTGTTGTGGAATGCAGGATACGTGACAAGCACTGTATAAAAACCTGCCTGGAATATGGTTCTGGACCTTGAAGTCCCTTCTTCTTATGCACCCTACGCCCCAATTTTGTCTTATCTTTTATCCCTACTCTTTCTTTTTCAATTGCGACAGTGCCCCCTGGGGACCCTTCCTCACAGGATGTTAAAACCTGCCTATTGCTGTCATCTATTTGGTTTCCACTCACAGCAACCCTATGTGACAAGAGAACTGCCCCCTCAGGGTTTCGTGGCTGTAATCTTTATAGGAGCAAATTTCCAAGTGTTTCTCCGGGTATAGTTCTGGGCGTGTTAGAACTACCAACCTTTTGGTAAGCAGCTGAGCACTTAACCATTGCACTACCAGGATCCTTGGGACCAGACCACTTGGCGTCAATTGCCAGCTTGCTTTATGAGTTGTGTGACCTTAGGCAAAAGTTCCTTGATCTCTGTGCCTCAGGGTTTTAAAAATTTATTTATTTAGATCATTTTATTGGGGGCTCTTACAGCTCTTATCACAATTGATACATCCATCCATTGTGTTGAGCCCATTTGTACATATTGCCATCATCATTTTCAAAACAATTTCTTTCTACTTGAGCCCTTGGTATCAGCCCATTCTCTCCCTCCCCCACAGTCCTTCCCCCATGAACCCTTAATAATTTATATATATTTTTTCATGTCTTACACCGGCCGCTGTCTCCCTTCACCCACTTTTCTGTCTGTCCCCCTGTGCGGGGATTATCTGTGGATCATTGTGATAGGTTGCCCCCTTCCATACTACTTTCTCCTTAATTTTACAGCCCCCACACCCTGTAGGGTCGTCTGACTAGGAATCTACTCATGGCAGTGGGTGGATTTCTCCAAAATGTGATTATGGAGACTCAAGTAGTTCATATCTGCTACTCAGGACAGAGCTTGGAACATATACATGCTTTTAAAGTGTTTGCTGAAAACATGCAGTCGTTCCTATTCTTTTATAAAACATTTGATTTGGTCAGTGGCATGGTGGTTAGGCGTTGGGCAGCAATCAGTCCAAAAGATCAGCAGTTCAAAACCACTAGTCTCCCTGGTGAAAGTTGTGGCTTTCTACTCCGGTTAACGGTCTCAGAAACTCAGTAGCGACAGTTCTACCCTGTCCTATAGGGTTGCTATGAGTCGGCTCGATGATAGTGAGAATTATGTGCACACAACTGGGCAAAAAGGCTGGGTGCCGGCCTTGCTAGCTGTGAAAGAACCCTGGTAATTTCGTTTCAAGCACCCTTGAACCGTGGTGGTGGTGGAACTTGGGTTAAGGTGTAGTTGGCAGGTCCAGAACCTTTGGAGTCAGGGTGCCTTCTTTAGGTCTTTGCCATTGATTGACTTTGGGCAAAGTAACGTTTCTGCCTTGGGAAATGGGGCTCATCCTTGTTTCTCCGCCGGTGTGTGGATGAAATGAGGCCTCGTGCCTGCAGCGCACAGCCTACACCCAGCACAGAGTTATGGTGGTGATGACTGTGGCCATCGCGGCCAACATATCGAACACGGCCCGGGGGTGGTGGTGGTGAAGGCAGGGAAATCAGAGGCTCCTAGAAGCGAGTTCTTCCTACCTGTCTGAGCCCGGTGTGGGTAAAAGAGAAAGATCTCTTCCACGGGCAGCTAAGTTACTACAGGTTTCCCCCTTGGTCGTTGCTTTCCATGCCCCCTCAAATGGAGGCAAGGGTACCCACCATACTTGTCAATTTCCTAATCTACCCAGTCTGTCCGTGCGAGTTTTCTAGGTTTGGTGGTAAGCCAAGGATGGGTGGGGAGAGGCATTAAAACCTGGCAACCCGCTCCGGCATCTCCGGCCGCCGCCGCCGCGGGCTACTGTCAGCCGTCTGCGGTTGAAGGCGTGGATTATTTCCCTTCCCCGCAGTCTCCGGTGCAGCAGCTCACCGCCGCCGCGGCCTGCTCCTCCCCCGGGACGCTGCCCTGCCCCCGGCCGGGGACAGCGGTCAGCACTGCTTAAAAAACACAACACAACAAACACGACACCCATCTGCTCTTGCAGCACCCAGTAGCCATGAGGAGCGCCTGCCGGGCCGGTGCTCCAGCTCTCTTCGCTCGCGGCCACATCGGTGCCGACCCCGGCGTCGCAAATCACCGTTTGCAGGCGCCACTCGAAGCCGCCACCTCCACTCTCTCACGCTCATTAAAATCGGGCTTCCGAGGAGGCTCCGTGGCCGCAGCGAGGAGCCCGGCGGGGGCCGCGGGAGGGCTGGGTGCGCAGGGCCCCCCACGGTCCGGGGCCGCGGGAAAAGCCGCGGCACAAGTGCGGGCCGCCGGCTCCAGGGCTCGGAGGCGGCGCAGACAAAGAAGCCGGCGCCGGTGCCGTCTTCACCGCCCCCTTCCTCCCTTCCCACGTTCGCCCAAGACCCAGAGGGCGATATGAGCGCCAAAGGGAATGGCCTGCGCCCTCTCCACCTCCAGGCCGCGGGGCGGAGGAGCCCTCTCCCCCGAGCTCTAGGAGCGCGGCGGCCCGGCGCCCACCCGCAGCCCCGCCGG